ACTGTTACAAACCTATTTTTAAAGTTTCTGTTGCCTATAAGCAAAATTATCTTGATTTCTGTCTGGTATCTTACTTCAGCATTGGGCATACTTAATTTGCTACACAAAGAAGGTACAGTCATAAAAGAATGAGGAACTCAGTAGCTAAATTAGTACTGCATTTTTTAGACTTGCACCATAGAAGAAGATATATCTCAGGGCAGAAAGTAATGGATGGGTAACATACGTGCCCTTATTTTCCGTAGAAGACAGTTGCTTCATTAAGGAACTCCTTTCCCTAGCATGGGACAGCTGCCAAACGCTACATGGGTTTCAGCTCAGATAATATATTGTGATGGTATGGAACTTGACCTACTTTGCTAACTAAAATTCTACTTTTAAGACCATACCTTGCKTTCTTTCAGGCTGAATACCCTTATGTCTAATTGTCACAGTGGGGATTTAGAGGGGATAGCAGGATGCTTCCTATTTGGGATTTGGGATTTTTTCCAAAAAAGGGATTGTTCCTATTTTCTTGCACATTATCAGAGTATCTGTCAACATCACCCAGTGCTCCAGAGCTTAGCTGTTTGGTTGCATTTAAAGGATATCTATTTTAGRGACTTTGAAATAGCATTAAGAATGTAGGAAAACTGAGGCTGCCTTACTGTTGTTTTCTTTCTTTCTAGATAATAGTGATGGAGAGATTGCCAGTGAATGTGAAGAATGCGATAGTATCTTCAGCCATTTAGAAGAGCTGAGATATAACCTGGAGCAGGAAATAGGCTTTGATAAATTAATTGAAGTTTATGAGAAAATAAAGGTTTGTGGAATAAGCTTAAGTGGAAATACTTTCAGAAACAAGCAGCTAGGTCTGTTTGTTGTGCCGGTTAACTAATCACTTTGTGTGACTAGAGAAAAGGACTTTTTTTCGTAGTTTTTTAATCTGTTTTGGCACACTAAAATGTTAACAGAGAAAATACACTGGATTTAAGGATAAAGGAGCAAAACTTTGGGTTTAACCATGAATTGCATTTAATAAAGTTGACCTATTTCATTTCCCCCAGGCTATACTTGAAGATGAGGATGAAAATATTGATATTTGTTCAACCGTTGTTCAGACTGGTCTTGGAAATGAACAGAAACACCTGTATGCCAAAATTCTTCACCTGGTAATGGCAGATGGAGCCTACCAAGAAGGTAATCTCAATGCATCCTGGCAATTATGGTTTGTCTTGGTTCTTTCTTAGTGATACACAATATAGATTCTAATATACTTCTAAAATATCATAGTATCACAGAATACAGAACATATCTGTGCTTTGTTATATTGATTGGCTAAAGTAATTACAATTTTTCTCAAAGGGTATTTTTCTTCCTGCAAAAAAAATGGCAAATTCTGCAGACCATTCTGATTTAATAGAATGTACATGTACAGTCAACTGTAACAATACCTGGCTTACAAAGGGTACAATATAATTATTTAATTTCTGTAAAATGAAGATGGGGAAAATGGAAATCTAGAACAAAACTTTCAGAGTCAAAACTAATTTTCAGAATTAATGAAAATTTAGCTAAAATAGTATTATGCTTTCTAAAGTGTTACTTTTAATAGGTTGCGCCATCACACCTTTTTGGAAAATTTCATGGAGCTCTTTAGCCTCTAATTAGCATTTTCAGAAGACCCTGATGTGTATGTACCATCCATCTTTGTTGTTGACTTAGTAATACATGAAGACAATTAATTTTGTTCTGGAGCCTTGCCCAGCTTAGCCCACGTGATGAGGCAGATGGATGGCTACTCCATCTTTTAGAGTCGCTCCTATGAAAAACCACACAGACCACCGTCAGTGAGGAAATGGTTTTGGCTTTTTCCCTTTCTCTCACATCAAAAATTTAATTGCAGTTATGTGTTTTTAGATTTCTAATGATGAAAGTCTTTACTGGAGAGGGGAAACAAAAAGAAATTTGAAATCCTTAAAAGTTTTATAGAAATCAGAAGCATCACATATTGGCTTTACAAGTGTGTGTAATGATCACTATTTAAGGTATTTCAATTTTGAAAGAAATATTTTAATGCATGTTAACAACATGTACTTTCTGCATCTTTTAAATTATTTTCCAATTGTGTTGCTATAGCAGTGCAAGGTCAAGTAAGTGTATGGCTTTCTATGACTTTTATATGTAAATACCTGGGGGGGGGGGAGGGAGTCTTAACAACTAGTTATAATACATAGTATTTTTTAAAATTCTATTACAAATTACATTTTCCCAATTTTTCTTCTCTACTGATATAGAACCACTAGGTAAGAACATTCAGTTCTATGTTGTTTTCATGCTGTGTTAGAGAAGTATAACAGAGAAACGTCTGAAAAATATTTTTTCAGCCACAATTTATTGATTTAATAACAGATTTGGAATGATCTGCTGTAGTAGTTCATTTTTCTAGTGTCCAAAAGACTGGCAATGTAAAATAATAAGAAAATGGTTACTATAGTGTCACCATTTTCTTTTGCTTGCCACTCTGCCTTAAGGATATTTTAAAACTAAAAAGCTTAAATGAAAATTTGCTGAAATGTTGGCATATAAATTATAAGCTGTTTTCTGAATGAATCCTATTAAAATGAGCTGACATTCATCTTGCAAAGTGCTGATTAACAAGTGGCTATTTTTTAATAGATTCAGTTCTAATTCTGTATTTTACAAATCTGTGATAGCATCCAAAAGTGCTAAGAAAATGTAATTCTTTACATTTCAGACACTTTTATTAAAAAGTACTATGTTAATTGGGGTGAATAGAGGACAAGTGATAGACAGAAGAATCATCATGAGCTTCTGTCTCAAAAGCCTTATACTCTTCAAGTAAGAAATGTTGAGAAAAAATCCCTATTGCTCTTTCCTAAGAGGATTGTTCTAACTGAAGCAGGCCACTTGAGGTGAAACTRTCTTAAATTCACTAATCCAAGATGACACTATGTTCAATATTTGTACATAGCAYTTTAAGGCAGCTTTTGGTCACCTCGTTGGTGACAGACTTAGTGGATTCCTGTGTTATTACTTACTAAATTGTGGTTTCTAGATTGTTTCGTAACTTGACTTGGGTCTATCTGTTCTCTCCTTTTCACATCGTCTCTCCCCCTCTTCTACTTTTTACAGGAAATGATGAATAAATCTGACTCAGGAATTCCTTAGTGCTTACTACACATCAGTGTGTGAAGTCTGCACCGCTGAACAAGAAATTGTACTGGAGAATGTAACATGGGCAGGAGAGGCAGGACTTCAAAAAGGAATGTTGTTTGTATGAAAAAGAGAAAAAACATGCATTTTAAACTGAGATACCTTCCGAGTTCTCTTGTGTGGATTTGCATATGTGTTCCTTAAATATTAGGTGCCCAAAATTTTAAAAAACCCACACCAAACAACCAACAACAAAAATATCAATAAAACCCAAAACCTCCACAAAACAAATAAACCCCAAAACTGTAACCTCTCAAATTTCAAAAGAAATAGAGAAATACCTGTAAATATTCTGATACAAAACTGAGACYTATAATTAAAACAGAATTTCTGCCATATGAACAGTTAGCTGGTATGGTGAGCATTTGAAGCATTGCTGTGTTGTGGAAATACATCTAGCTATTCACTTACATAATTCAAATAGCTTTTCTTTACACTTACACAAAGAARTCGTCTGGTTTCTATTGACCCTTGTGGTTGTATTTTAATAGTATCTTAATTTAGTGGTCCAGTTCAAATATTTAACTTTTATTGTACTTCGAAGCTGAAGGTTTCTGTCACATCTGGAATACCTTGGTAGTGTTTCTGAATCAGGGCAAACTGGTGCATAAGTCATCATTGAAATGTGGGGAGGTTTTGATATCGTAAAATCAATTTAGAACTAGAATATTCTTTTTTCTAGTATTTTTCTTCTTCTTCATGTTCCATATCCCCTTCCCAAAAATTCCAGTTGTTTACTTCTCTTGAATTTTGTAATCTGGTCAATGATGATGTACTACACTGTTAAACTGAAAGGAGTGGGAGTTTTCCAGTTTGGCTTTAAAGCCTTATAGTCATTGCTCCAGCTGCCACAGGGGAAAATGAAACATTGCAGCCACAAGAGCTGTGTAATATTTCACATCTTTTGGTTCCTGTATTACATAGCCGGGTTTCCACCACCCTACAAGCAAAAACAGGTTTCTTCTGACACACACGTTTCCTCATTCCTCATGTCAAAGCAGTACTGTACAAGGCAGACATTTGGGATTCTGTTGTTCTCCAGTCATTGTCTCTGGATCAGTTTTACTGGTTTACCCATTACAGTAAGTCTCTTGTTGTGGATTTGATGAGCTGTCGAACTTTCAAGTGCCCTATTGGAGAAAAATAGGTTTTTATTTTTTTTCAGCTACAACAGGAACAATCTAAAACTGTCAAAAGTTGCTTTTCTACGAAGTAAGAACAAATTTATATATATATATATAAATTTATTATTTWAATTGTCAAAATATGTACATGATTTTTGTAAAGTTGTTTTATGGTGTCATTATTAAAATTTTGCCCACTGATAAGAGTTAATTTTTTTAAGCAGATACAATTCTTGAAGGTAGACCAAACTTACTCTAGTTCAGCAGTATTCTGGGAATTTGTGAGAATAAAATGAATAATTAATTGCCTTTAATAGATTATTTTTTTATATCCTTATTTCTTTGATAAACACCTCTTACTTCATCTGCAAAGAAAGTATGATCGTTGTTGGCAACAGTGCTGGTTCCATGCTATGCAGCTTCTCTTCTCATTCCATTTTCTTCTTTATTTCTTTTTTCTTAACTTCCCACAATAAACTTTTCACCAGGCTTCTCTTCCATTCCACTTTTCACTGCTGCACAATCTATTCAGAGACGTGATCCTCATGATCTACGTCATCCATGACATTTAGCAAATGCACCCTGAAGGCTTTATTAAAGAATGAATCTGAATTACTTTCCTTTTTCGGGTTTGATTTTTCAAATCATGCCTTGTCCACCTTTTGGAGGAAGGGAAAACTCAAAACCTTTTGATTTAAAATAATATAGAATAACTGTATGGAAACAAGAAAATCAGACATCTGATATATTCTGTGCTCCATGGTTTTGAATCCTCTTTAGGTGATGCAGTCTTACTGAAGTTAAGGATTGGGCCCTGTTAACTTTTTTAAAATTGAAATTGTGTCATTATTGATATTCTTCATTTCTTATGCAGTGTCCTGGCTTGTTTCAGGTAAGAAAAATGGACATAATCTGCAGACTTCAAGATCTACAAACAGAGCTTTTTACCAATTAATAATTTGAAAAACACATGTAGATTGTGGACAGCTTTTCAAGAATAATCTTCAAACCTGCCACCCAAGACTGAATATCCTTGAAATCCCTCAAAAGCTAACTTAAAATTGACACATAAATAAGGTTGTCTGCTAAAGAAATACTTTCATCTGAAATGTTAAATCCATATTTAATGCATGGTATAATGGCATCAGGGACAGTGTGGCTTCAAGATAATTAATTGGCTTATATGTAATTTATTGAAATTAGTTGAACATTTGGCTTGTATGCATATTATATTCACCTTGAAGAATTTTTTGTTGCTATTGTAGTTGCAAATTGAGATATGGAATGGTATTTCTGGCATAAAACATACTCTGAACTATTTAGCACTGATGTCTCTGTCCTCAGGCTTGCTTTTTGACCCTCGAAGCCACCTGTAAGTTTTAAAGTTGTAATCTTTAAAACAAGCAAGCAACCAAACAAAAAACCTTCAGCAGAAAGTAGTAAGGCCTCCAGCAACGAGGTGGTTTGAGCTGAAGAGGTACAACACTCTACCCAGAGCATTGAAGCCTAAAATCTTTTTTGAAGAACAGAGTGTGAAGAGGCTTTTCTCTTGAATTTGCTCTGATATCAGAGTTTGAAGTTTGCTCTGATATCAGTTTGAAGTTACCACCACAAGGAACATCAGAAAAATATGTTAGCTGGTTGGATAACGTAAACCAAAGCAGAGTACAGATTTTTCTGTGGTCTGGTAAGTGAATGATTGAAATCAAGTTCTAGTGCACCACATTCCAGGTAAGGGTTAGTGCTCTTGAAAAGCTGCATTATATATCAATAATACTTCCTTCAACTTTTACTGCTTCTGTGTCTCTCTTGCTCTCACTTGAGCATAAATGCTGTATGCTTACTCAAATGCATTCTCCACTCTCCTCGTCGTTGTAAAGCTTTAAAACTTGGCCCAAATGCTTTGGAAGGCAGGGCTGAGGATGCTGTGCCAGCTCTTGTGCCGCCCCTGCAGCCACCAGGTGGCAGCGTGCGGGCGGGCGAGGTGTCCGTGCCCCGTGCGGGTTCCGCCGCGGCTGGAAAGGTGCAAATGCCTGTGGCTGGGGGGGCCTGCAGGCGAGAAGCGGCGAGGCTGAGCCGGAATAGGAATTCGTAAGGCCCTGCAATTCATGGGTATTTCCTTGTACAAGACCGTGTTCTGAAAGTACCCATAAATACTTTTCTTTCTTTTTTTTTTTTTTTTTTTTTTTTTTTTTTTTTTTTTTTTTTTTTTTTTTTTTTTTTTTTTTTACAAAATGCTCAATTATGATTATTCTCAATTAATTTACCAAAAAGAAATAAGAGAAATACATATACTCAACTGGGTAATGAGCCTTTGGATAGAGCAGAGTTTCTTAGCTTATAGCAGTCATGAAATCTTTACATTCTTTTCCTGGAGGATAGGATGACCATGGAATCATAGAATATTCTGAGCTGGAAGGGACGCACAAGGATCATAGATTCCACTTCCTGCCCTGGACCATATGCCTGAGAGTATTGTCCAAACACTCCTTGAACTCTGCTCTCTGTGACCACTTCCCTGGAGAGCCTGCTCCTGTGCCCAGCCACCCTCTAGGGGAAGAACATTTTTCTAATATCCAACTTAAACCTCCCCAACACAACTTCAGGCTATTCCCTCGGGTCCTGTCTCTGGTCACCACAGACATGAGATCAGTGCCTGCCCCTCTGCTCCTCTCATGAGGAAGCTGTAACTGCAGTGAGGTCTCCCCTCAGTCTCCTCTTCTCCAGGCTGAGCAGACCAGGTGACCTCAGCTGCTACTCATAAGACCTCCCCTCAAGGCTTTTCTCCATCTTTGTAGCCCACCTTTGGATGCTCTCTAGTAGCTTTATGGCGTGGTATGCCCAGTTTCCCCAAATTACTAGATGCAAATTTAAATAAAATACAACACTTCTAGCTGAAATATATGGTTGGGCTCTGTGTAGTCTTCCCCTCTGCCCCAGAGGCTGGGGTAGAGCATGCCCCTGACTAAATTACTGACTTAACTTCTGTGACTGCTAAAAGCAMCACATCAAAGCTCAAATAAAGCTATGCTCTACAGGATTTTATTAGCTGTGATAAACCAAGGATATATATATAAATTTAACTTTTCTATCCTTTTAAATGTTCTTCTCTTCAAATAACTGTGTGCTTTCTGAAATCTTATTTTACCATTTGTTCATTCATGAACCATGTAGACTCAAATTTAGCATAAAATATAAATTAGTGGTTACCATTCCTAAAGCATTTCTTTGCCATTTTTGTCATAGCAGTTTACATGGAGCAATTTATAGAGTTTAAGTAGTAGTTTTAAAACCCATAAAGAGCTTCCTTTAAATTAAATTTGTGTGTTAATGCAATTTGCTTCAAATGCATTTCCAAGTTGATGTTTTCCAGCTGAGCTGATGAGTTCATCAATTCAAATTGTAGAACTCAGAATGGTTGGCCTTGCAAGAGTCTTAAAAACACTTCTTCATCAACTAAAGCCTTAATTGAGCTGCTTCCACAAAGTTGTATTAATTTGCAGTTACTTGTGAGACATACATATATTTATGAGTTCAGTTGCTGCTCCTAAATTGCTTGCCTTGAGCATCTCTGATTTGGTGCACTCTTTCAGATTTTATTTCCAAGACATTTCCAAACCAGGATAGGGTTTAGCCAATTCCATTTAATCTCTTTTTAACAGTACAGTTTAGAGAACTTGCAGAGACAAAGACTTGGAGAGTTTTTTCTCACGAGCTGCACAACACAAGCCAAAGCCATGGGTGGGTTGCACAATGGGAAGACTCCAGTGAAGTAGGATTTTCAGGATGGCTGTGATGTTTCTTTTGCAAGTCGTCCCTGAGATTGACTGTATCAAGTGTGAGGCTGGGGTGTGTGTGATTCACTTCTGCGTGGCTGATGGATGTTCCCTTAGGGACTGTAGTCAGCCAGAAAAAAAGTACAGTTCAGATTTAATTAGGACTGTGGCTCGAGCTGATGCAAACATACTCTGAGGATAAAAGAACCAATCAAGTCTTTGACATACCCTAATTTTTGCTGTATCCTGCACACAGTCCTGACAGTAAGGTCTCCTCTAGAGGAAGGGATGAAGTATGCATTTTGGCTGTATCCTTGATATAGAATACAACTTGCCTAAATTCAATTTTTAGGCTAAAATACAGTGGTGCTATCTCTCTTAAAACTTTTTAAATCTCAAGCCATACTTCAGGGATGCCATACTTTCCTCCTACTGGCTTCCTCATCAGCAGTCAAATGTTGTCGTTGTTTGTTTTATTGCTGCTAGGATATTCTGAATGTTGTCTGAGAAGTTTTGCAAAACAAAGGTATGTAGCCTTTTGCTGAAGTGATTGATTTAATGGACGTACAGAAAGGACAGAAAACCTTAGGTGCCACTGATGATGAGCTAGAACTCTGTCTGTTGTGGAGCTCTACCAACATAAGCCCTCCTTAAACCTACTTTTTATAAACTGCTGTAGCTGTTGTAYTTCCTCTAAACTTTGTTTCTTCCTTTGTATGGAAGTGTTTGAGACTGCACATAGCACTTAGTGCAATGCTCTAGCTGACATGGCTATATTCAGTCAAAGGTTGGACCCAATGATCTCAAGAGGTTTTTTCCAACCACATTTATTCTGAAAATCTGTAACAATTGATAAAGATGTCTGAAAGATAGAAATAAAATGCATCTAATTTGCCAATACTCTAGCACATTTAATCGATCCTTTCCCACTGATGTTAATTTTAATAGCCTACATAGCAGTTTAGAGTATTTTAACCCTTTTCTTCAAACATTGTAAGAGGAACCTAAAAGATTAAATTGATGAAAATTAAGCTTCTCAATAGAGTATATTTGGACATAACATTGGACATACTTTTATGTCCTTTAATTCTAAGAAATATGAGTATATATTTTATTATACTCAACAGTTTTAAAGCCTTATTTAGTAGATTTGTGTTTATTATTAGCAAACATATACAAGAATTATTTCAACAGCAGTAAAACATCCCTGATGTGATTTTTAGCTTAGTAATACAGCACTTTTTTCCCCAGCTGTGGAAAAGCCTGACTGCAGTTCCACAGTGGACTTTAGTATATCAGTTAATGATCACGGTGCCTTGAGTAACTTAACTCATGTATTCACTTAATTCACTGCTTTGTTACTTTTCCTCAGATGACTGCTATTGCTTTCTCTACACTGGACAATCCTGTTTGTCCAGAAACTTCAGCAAATTCTGGCTCCACAGACCATGAGGGTAAACATTGCCAGCTGGGAAAGGAAGCACAGGTCAGTCCTGGCCCACAACCTTTGTTAACCATGTAGTGATACTGTAGTAACTCCTTTCCTCAGATCTATAATGGGCAGACTTTCCACCACAACCCCCAGTATCTAGCTGTACGTACAACAGTCTAGTATGAGAGAGCACAGTCATAAAGCCTCATTCCTCCCAGTAAAATTGAAGCAAGCTTGAGTCAGATCCCATTGTGATTTGTTAAGCTTCTCCTTCTCACCACAGTCTGTTCTTTCCCTCTGCTGATGATTATCAGGACCAGCAGAAGGAAAYGTTCGCCCACCCTCATGCTTGGGCACGAAGCAGAGCATCATTGATTAAGCTGCTGAGAAGATGGGTGTGAGCCAAGGCACCAGACTCTGAGCTGCAGTTGGTGAGGATATGAACACATCTTCCATTCTGCTTATTCTGACACAGTGAACACAATCTCCATCAGAAGGATGGGATATAACAGATGGAGCTATAACTTAAACCACTTTGTAACAGTTCCTAAAGCTCATCTGTCAAGGATGGTGCCAGACTGCTTGTGCAGTGTTAGTAAGAGAAATTTATGTATGAACATACCATGTGAAATAGGCCTGCTGAGGAGCAAAAACTGTGTAGCCTATGTTTATCTTGCATTAATCAAATTGTAATGTATTTACTTAGCACTATTTTTGTTTTCACTTGCTGGCAAAATTCCCCACAGATGTTTTATTCTGCCTTACAGCAGTTAAAAATGTGAGAAATGTATAATTGAAATAATTTATTAATTGTGCAATTGACTGGCTTATTTCACAATAAACCATGGGGGCTTGTTAGAGGGATCACATTAATCCATAGTATGACACAGGTCAGGTCACTTCCTGCAGTCATTAGTTTCAACAAAGCTACCTATGATACCTCAACTCAGGTATTTTCAGCTGAAATTCAGAAGACTGGCAAGCCTGTGAGGGGTGTCCCCTATCCCTCCATTCCACACTCCTCTCTTCATGGTATCTGAAGAATAAGCTACTCACAGTTACATTGGTGGTCATGGAAATTGCAGGTACCTCATTTCTGGAAATCCAACTCCTGATGCTTGTGCAGCCTTAGGGAGCTGTATTTTCTTGCCACAGGATTACAGAGAAGTCAGAAGGCTTTGTGATCGTTGGCCAGAAGACTGTGTGGAATAATAGAATGAACTGGGGGAAAAAATGCACTGAAAGCATCTGGGAGTTTTTCTGCATACTCAACAATATATTCTATACTCATTTTCTGTGGCTAAGTTTGCTGTTGCTGAGGCCTAGAAGTAGCCAAATAAAACAGCAGGGAAGCCTTTTCTATGTTTCTTGCCTCCATTTCTCACTAACATTTTTACATTTGCTCATTCCCTCTTCTAATGGAAGCTGGGGGGAAAGTGCCATGTACAGCACTAATGACATGAAGAAAAATGCTGAAGGAAGCAGCAGGGGGCCACGGTTTCAACCACTTTCCCTCCCTTGCCCAGGAAAATTTCAGTGACCTCTTGACACCTCCCATGGGAAACTTTAAATTGACAAGAGTATTTGCCAAGTAAATACAAAAAAATGGCATTAAAATTGTATTGTTTCTGACTTAATCCTCCTAAAGTCAATGCACGTGAGCTGAGATTCCCACAGAAGCTATAACACACTACCCTCAGTTTTGATGGCTGGATACATGAATGTGCATCAGGACTGATTAAAAATCACTTCCATACTAATAGTCATTTGGAAAACTGAAAATAAAAATGCTAAAAAATTAAGTTACAGCTTGTTCCTGGTTTGTGCTGGTATCTTGGTTAAAACTACTATGTTTCATGTTGTGCAACACTACCTAGAGTCAAAACATTAATATGTCCTGTGAAAACAAAGGGAAGGCATTTTGCATTCATTATAATCTGATTGGTTATTCTGTTGTGCTTTTGCTGGGATAAACTACTCAAGAATGATTGTTGTGACTCTTGGAAAATATTCTGGATTTATTATATGCTAGTTGCCAATTTTTCTTCTGAAATCTGATCATGAGGAATGGAGASATACGAGAACATCTTGCACCTCATGCATTTCCCCCCACATCCAGAGAATACATTTGCTAAAATAACATTGATCCGGAGACAGGTCACTAAACTGGAGATCTGTGGTTTGGTACTAGGAATTGTTCCTTTGCTTCCTCCCCAGCATATTATTTAATTTATCCTGAAGAGATAAATGAATCTGTTCCAGTCCTTATCTCGTTTGTCTTACCTTCTCTTGTCTTTCCAGTCTTTTTTGCCACCAGTTGCAAAGTCTTCCATGTATGAGGTAACACTGCCTTCATGATCCCCATGTCACTCATATAGAAAAGGATCGGCAGAATAAATCCCAAAAAATAAGAATGTTTCCACAAGACAATAGTAGAAAAAAAATGCTCACCAATGTGAACTAGCATGCAGGAAAAGACCTAGCACAGGCCATTTGCTGACAGTTCTTTAGTGCACAGCTGCCTTAGCTATAGACTATGACATGGATTAAAAATACATCAGTGTTTTAGCACAGGTGTGACCTTAAAGAAGAATTGTGGCAAAAGTGCATTAGCAGTTTGCAGGTTTTTGGCACACTAACCCATTGTCAGTGCCCCAGCCCATCCCCACACAGAGTTGCTGTTCGCATTTTCTGGGACACATGGGAAAACATTACTTGAAAATGAGTTTGACTATAGCTCATATAAAGTGTCTATTTAAGAGGTATTTAAGGGCTGATTCTTAGCTGGGGGATGGAATCCAGCTGCCTGTTTTCTTTGGCTCTGAGAGCCAGTTTCATGTGATTTACATTTTCAAAGCTGACTTCACAATGGAAGAGCTTGAGGCTTGGTTTTGAGGCATGGCATGGTTTCTTAGGGGTTGGGGTTTTTTTTTGGTGGTGGGGGCATGCTAGTGAATAAATATTTTACAGCCCACATTCCTAGTTCCACWAAATCAGTGACTTCAGGCTGTAGGACAATATAAGTAAGCACAAAGGCTGGAATTTATTGCTAGTAGTGATCTATGAGATAAGGTTTTTCAACTAAGCCAGTGCAGAGTTCTCTTGCCAGATGTGTGGGAGTGAAAGTGACACAAATCTAAAAAAAAAAAAAAAAAAAAAAAAAAAAAAGGAGAGATATTTGGCAATCCTAGAGTGATTATATAGCCTTGTAGCATTAGCAGCCTCAGAAAATTAATTTTGTGTCTCAATGTCTTTATTGACTAAGAAGCCAAGTCTCAAGCTTTATAGAAGAAATCCAAAGTAGTGCTATGAATACTCCATAAATTTATCTCACTTCTTTAATCTTATTTTGAAGAAAGATAATTTGGGGACCGTTTTTTTCTACATTCCTCTGTAAAGAACTGTGAYAGCAGAATGATAGTGATTCTGCAAAAAATCAGTGGGAAACTTGTCCCTTTATTCCCTAACTTTCATCTCAATGTAATTAATAACTTCCCTTCTGAGTCAAGCTACATCATAAATTATTGCTTTTTGTTTCCAAGATATCATGGACAAAAGCATGGTACATGGATGGTACACTGACCACATTCAAGCTTCTGCCTACATCCTTTCATAAGTGTACTTGAAAATGCAGAGAACCAAAGCTGTGAAGGAGCTTGAGCACCTTTCAGACAACCAAGAGGCCTAATTTGTGCTCATGGGGCTGCAAATTTCCTTGGAGCTGAGGGTACACTCCAAAAATTKCTACTACAGTCAAAGAAAATGCTTTCCCTTGCTATAATGGTACTGCTTTGACTAATTTGGAATTAAAATGTTAGTGCTCTTTAAATGCTGTAACACATTTGAATTTTTTTATAACCTAGTACACAAACTCTTACACAACATATCTCATCACTTATGTATGACACCACAGCAGAACTGTTCAAGTGTGGCAGAGATGTTTGAAAAGTAAACATGCTGATAATCCTACTTGCCTGTCACATAGCTCTGCCCAGCAGGCACTTTTAGTAGGAGAGTGCTATTTTAAGGAAATAAATCTCTCTGAAAAAAAAGAAACCCTAGCTGAGCATGCTTTTAAGAACTAACATGACAATTTTTTTTTTTTTGTAAACTATCAAATTGTTGCAGCCCTTAAAATTCTAAAATAGCTTAGTTTGGGATTTAAACAAGCTAGCAAATTCTTCTCGTAGATTTTGCTCTAAAAACACAAGCATTTCATGGAAATTCATGAATCCATGAATCATGAATTCATGTGACATAGAAAAATGTCACATATTTATCCTGGAGCATCTTACCAGTCCCTGCTCCTAAGTCTGAGTGTAACACAGCTACAGACTGTTCTGGGACAAAATCCAAACCAACTCTCTCAGCAGAGGAGATGTAGGTGAAGGGATTATGGTGCTTTTCAACAGATTTCCTGATTTGGACAGTAGGAGRAACTGCAGGATTTATCATAAAACACACACAAACCACACAACATATACATTATTGCCATACATTTTTCATGCTTGAGCTTTCACAAAAGCACAATGATTTTTAAGAGTTACTCCTCTATAAATGATTTCCAGTAACTTGTCTTAGAAGAAAACACTTTGGATAAGGTGTTTGTTAAGACCTGCAGAAATTTCTGAGTTTTCATTATGTTGTCATGCAGTTACCCAATGGAGAAATAATATCCTTTACATCACCTGTTGTAGAGCCTGAGTGGATGTGAAAATTGCTCATCTAGAAAGACTGAAGGGAATGCTTAATATGTTGTAAAGATTTATTCTTTGTGAAATAGTGAATATTTCTGAGTTTCCACTCTGCCACTTTTCTAAGGCTTTGGCCAAGGGTGTTTGCTCTTGGAGGGTTAATTTGACAGAAGGASCCCTCTACATAAAAAACCAAAGAGTTTTTCCCTGTACATGAAACTTACTGACTAGCTTTATCTTCTCACAGGGTTTTAGGGAGTGAAGCTGTAGTGTGTTTCTAGAAATACAAATATAACAAAAGACAGAATCCAGGAATTATAAACCTGATATGATGGATACAGACATCTCCCAATACTGACAACCCCTTTCTCTTTCCAAGTGCCTCTGACTCTCCTCCTTTCTAAAACTGGGCTTTTTTTGTTGTTCAAATAATAGATGTGCCAAGTATGCAGTCCCCAGATGTTCAGCTGCTTTCAGATACTTTGATAATGAGGTGTGGTTATGAACACTAAATAAACTTTGATGAATGTTGATTATCCGCCAGAATGTTTTTATTTATTTAAAAAGAATTGTCTGGGTTCTGCAATGCATCTCATCTGTGTGCTTCAACACATTTGGGTGTTCAAAGCTCCAAACACTTGTCATAGTGTTCCTCAAAGATAAAACTGGACTTTAGTCATTCCAGCTCACTATCACTGGAAGTGGTTTATCACAGTTCTGCCTAATCTCAGGCTAGAGTGAGTAACATGATAATTTAACTTAAATATTTATGATTATTGGTTTACTGTTCATATGAAAGAGCTTTACCCTGTGACAGGAACATAGCCTTTGCAAGTGGGGAAAATACTAATAGCTTTTTAATAGCTTACAATTTGCTAACAATATAGCAAACTATTAAAACAGCATGTAAGCATTCCAAAACATCTTGGGCAGTCAATAATTCTAAAACTACATCCTGAATCACTTATAAATCTTTGGGAGACCAGATCTTAATGGGGCTGGGAGATACCTAGAGCAGGACTGAACTCATAATCTGGTATGCTCTGTCCACACCAGCATTTCCCCTGTGGAGACAGTACTAATTCTAGAGAGGCGAAGAAGCATTAGTACCAACTCTGCAGCCTCACAGACCAGGTCTGTATCTTACCAGCTGCATGCAAGGAAGGAAAAAGTTAATTTGATTTCAGAATAAACCTACCAAGAATGGATTCCAACATTTCTTCTCCTCTTCTAAAATCTTCACAGCTGTCAATCTAGCTTCATTTCTTTAAACAAGCATTCTCCTTTGTTTTTCCTTTAACCTTACTTGTAGTAAGGGCAATTTCAAACTTGCTGGTTAATGAGATGCAGGCACTACGTTCCCATCAGCATAGCGAACATTTAAATCAAGTTCTTGACCAACTACATAGCCAACACCTTACTGCATTTCTACGAGGTACAGCAATGAATGCTGCGGCTAGGCTATGGGGATCATAAACACCCATAATCCCAGTGTTTTCCTGTGACTAACCTGGTGGGAATGTCTYGTAACAAAAAGCTCACCCAAACGCTGAGAAGTTGCAACATGTTTATTCTTTAGTGCCACTTATCCTATGCCCATTTCCTCCCTGTGACTCAAATTATGTTATTGCAAATGTACAAAGTTACGATCCCAGGTTCATGTTATCAGAGAGAACCAGTTTACAACACGAGTACACAAATACTGTACTCAAGAAAGTTAGATGTCTAGAACACAGAATAAAGATGTGCTTTCAGTACCTTTTGGCTTCTAGTTTTACAACTCATTTCTCCCAACTCCTCACACATACCAAAACAGCAGAAATCCTTCTGGCAGAATGCAAAAGCTTTAGAAGTGCATTTGTCATCGATATAGTTAAAACTAGTTCACAACCTGGAAAGTGCAGTCAGGACAGCACAAAACTCAGTATAGAACTCAAACTAGAAGAATTGCCAACAGTAACCAAGCTAGGTAATTAAAGCTGGTACTAACTGGGGAAAAAAAAACAAACAAACAAACAAAAAAAAACCAAACCAAAACAAAAAAACAACAACAACAACAAAAAAAACCAACAAACTAGGACACCAAAGCAAAAACAAACTACATTAGTATTTATGGGATTTATTCTACTGATCCTTTTCTATATGACTGTCTTAGATTTTATAGACAGAGGAAAAACTAAGGGTGCTTAGAAATGTGCTAGAAACAGGAATTATTGCAGTAATATTTAGTTAAAATAGAAAGTATGACTGTTGACAGAGTGGGCTGAAGTCATGGGGAGAGGCCTTTAGGTTGGTTTGTCTGAACAGGAAAAAGAAGGTATTGTCAAAAGAAAAGGAGTCTAGAGACCAAAGAGGGTTTATTGCAGCAATGATGCTAGCATAGAAAGAAGAAAGAAATAGGTGTTACCAGTTCTTTCTGCTACTGACATTGTCTTTTGCTGGTCTTCCTATGGCACTTTGCTTCTTCCTTTACTTAAAAGCTTCTAGATGAAGAGAAACAAAATATGTTTGAGAAAAAAAAAAAAAAAAAGGTTGTGCCTGAAATCCAACTTCAGAAGCACAATTCTTTACACCAATGTGTAAAATACAGAAAAACATTAATGGACATTATAATTGTTGAAATCCAGGTGGTTGAGTAACTGGAGGGCYTCATCTTTCAAATCTGTCGTTTTTAATGGATTTCTGCCCTATGCAATCTCTTCTTTGCATCACATACTTAGTAAAAGCTGTACATGGAACTAACAAACTCTGTATAAGGACAGGATGGTTTTAAGAAGTGAGGCCTCCTCATGTAAAAATGTCCCAAGTGTGCAATTCCCTGTTATGGCTGGAAGTGAGAAAGAATAAATGCTTCAATGTAACAGCAATTCTGTTCCTTTCAGTCCTGGCACCAGACTGTTCCAGCCTCTCTGAGTCAAACACATCATGCGTAAGAGGGCAGTGGCATACATCTGCACACGCACCCATAGTTTTTCACATGGATCATATTTGTTTGAAAATTAACTACAGCTACTGCTCAGGAAGTAACATATTTACCTGATASTCTTCAGAGTATTTACTGCTTTGGCTTGTATTCCACAATGTATTTAGTATTTTACATACTTTACACAAAACACTATCAAAGAACAGGCCTGATAAAGGGGTARTCGTTTTATCCTCCTTCCCTGAACTTTCATCTTGCTTCCCTGGTGCACCCCTTGTGTTGTAAATTCCTTTACTGTTTTAATAGGTATTTTAAATTCTTTAGGCAGCAAACTAAGTTTAGACAACAGTAATTGTCTTGCTTACAAAGCTATGTTGGAAAGGCTGGCAAATTATTACCATGAGATCTTTTGGAAAAGCTAGGTCCAAACGTGAAATCCAGTCGTGAAATGAGACCTTCTTTAGATTCAACAAGTCTCTGCTTCAAATCCAGTGATTATCCTTCTTTCTGTAGCAACAGCACCGACATGGAAAGATAGAGGAATACTATGAGACATAGGGATATTCTTACGTATCAGATGTTTATATCCTTCTATTTATGTTACAATACTCCCTGGAAAGCACAGAAGCCCATCTGTATCAGTTTTCCTAAACTCCAGAATTCATGGGGGAGGAAACCTTATTTCTTAATGAATTGTACATATTTAGAAGTTTYAATATTTCCACTATTATCACTGAAAAATAAAATAAAATATTAGAAATGCATTCAGTGTGAGTGAGCACTTACTTGACAGTCCTAATAATCAAAGAATATCATTACCATTGGAAACAACCAAGTTAGCATATCCAAAAAGCAAGACAGAAAAGCCTGTCACTCTATCAGCATATCCAAACTGACACAATCCATGCAAGAAAAAAAAAAAAAAAAAAAAAAGAAAAAAAAAAGCTTTTTATATACACATAGATTTCAGTAAGATGACAGCAAACTTAAAACTATAGAATATTCTGAACTGGAAGAGACACACAAAGATCACTAAGTCCAGCTTCTGCCACCACACTGGACAGCCCCAAAAATCACATCATGTGCCTGAGAGCCTTTTCCAAATGTTTCTTGAACTCAGACAGGCTTCTGCTGGGATCACAGGGAAGAGGAGCCTGCTCCAATGCCCAACCACCCTCAAGGTGAAGAAACTTTCCCCAATATCCAACCTAAATCTCCCCTGACATAGCTTCATGCTATTTCTTCGGGTCAACTTGAAAGCTAGAACCACACACAGGCTTTTGGATTGCTTCGTAACTGAGTTGCAGTTGACAGGATGAACAACTGGAACTAACACATTTCTCTAGCTTTTTCACCACCCATAGACAAGGTGTCTCATCTGATTTTAAAAGAGAAGGCTTTAATTTCTTTTCGTTTTATGGTAATTTGTAAGTTGCTTAGGGTTTACTACCTCCTTCATTCCCACAGTCTTGTAGAGAAGTACTTCACATAAARTACCTCAAAAGCAAGTGCATCATGTCCTGAGCACAAAGGTATGTGGTTGTGTGGGTGGGGGCAGTGTGTGGGTGTGGGTGTGTGTGAAGAGAGGCACTCACCAATTTGCTGGCATCATTTATTTAATTAAGCAGTGCCATCATAGAACCGATTAGACTGGAACAGACCTCTGAGATCAGCGAGACCAACTGTTAATGCAGCATTGCCAAGTCTAGCACTCATCATGCCCACAGACACGCTTCACTAGACCCTGCAACACGCGTTTTGCAAGGGCCCGAGAGAGCACAGCCGACGGCAGCGATGGACGTGACACGGCACCCCCGCCACCTTCCCGGGCACCCCCGAAGCGGGAAAAGCCGCAGCCTCAGCGTGTCACCGGCGCGGCTGGGAGATGCGGGCGCACGGCCGGGGGAGGCTCGGCGAGGATCCGTCACCCTGCACAAGCCCGCCCAGCATGAGGAGTCTCCTTGGGCGGAGAGCTCCGGGCACTTCGGCTCCTCCTTCTGTAGGGCCTGGCAGCCGCAGGCCGGCGCTCCGGGTATGACTTACCACAGACAGGGAGCGGGGGCAGCCCCAGGAGCGACCACCCACCCTCCCTCGCTCACTCCCTCTCCCTCCTTCGCCGCCGCCCCCACGCAGCCGGMGGCAGCCCCAGGTGCCTGCCCGAGCTGCCCCAAGGCACAAGGCGGGAGGAAGTGCCTGCTCCCTCTGTCCCAGGAACCGCCTGAGCTCTCCCACCACCTCAGCCACCGCCCGCGGCACCTAGCGAGGTGCGGATGACTGGGAGGACGAGGCGGCCCCACGCCCCGTCCCCGCCCGCGAGGGGCGGTGCTGCCGCTGGGGACCCGCCGGGCCCGCCCTCGCTCCCTGCCCGCGGCCCCTCGGCGGGGCGGTGCCGGGCGGGGCGGTGCCGCCCCTCGCGTCAGCGGCCCCTGCGCGGCGGGGCGGGGAGGGCACGGGAGTGTCGGCGCTGCCGCGGCGGGAGAGGCACCGGCGGGGCCAGCGGCGGCKGCGGCTCCTCACGGGAACAAAGCGGGGGCGGCGCGGCCACACGGTGAGAGCCGGGGGAGGGACGGGGAGGGGGCGGCACTCGAGGTCCCCGGAGACCCCCGAGCCCCCGAGGGACGTCTCGGCGCGGCGGAGGGGCCGCGGGCCCGACCCCTCCCTCCCTCTGCCCGGCGCCTTGGGGCGGGGTGACAGCGCCGTGTCCCCCGCCCGCCCCCGCCTCTCGTGGAGCCGTCCCCGCTCGCCCCGTGTCCCCGCAGGGACCCCTGCGTGGCGTCCGCCCGCCTGCGGGTCGCTGTTCCCCCGGGGAGCGGGGGAGCATAAAGCAGTGAATGGGGAGGCGGTCCGGGCGCGGAGCCCGAGAACAGGTAGGTGCGGGACGAGAGCCGGGGGATCCGGGGGAACCGCTCCCGCAGGCGGCTGCGGGGACTGGGGGGAGGCGCTCAACTTCGCCCGGCGCTGGGYACTGCAGAGCTCAACAAGCCTTTTTCTGCCCGTGAAGCATCCTGGTGTGACTTCTCGCAGAATGGGTTTTTTTTTAGAGGTGCTCTTTGGTGGTGTTTGTTTTTTTCCCTCCCTCCCTTTTCCCAGCCCTTCGCTGCATAGGCTGGAGCTGGCTGGAGGCTCGYCCCTGCCTCTGTGGCTGCATACGCAGCTCGTGTTGTCCTAACGATATGGCAGGAGCACTTCCTGCTGTAAATCACTTCGCGATAGTTTTTGAAGCGCTTCTTAAAGGCGGCACTGTAATGAACCCTCTTGTCAGTGTCTGTGGTAAGCTTAAAACCTTATGAGCTGGAGCCTGTTTTTAAGGCTGTTCAGTGTAATGTGCTGCAGTACTTTTCATAGARAGGGTAGAAATGTAGTTCACTGTTGGCTTAGTGTTGACATAAATGTAATTCCCCTTGCTATGCCCTCTTAGTGTAGGCTCTATGGTTTGGGACCCTGTTTTAGTTACCTTTGTCATCTATCTTCTTTTGTGATAAAAGCTAATCTCAAATATTCAGAAA